AGATGCTGCAGGTATGTTAACAAGGAACCACAGAACACATGGTTTCACGCTATTTGACGGGCAGGCTTAGTAATGTAGAACATACCAGGAAAATATTCAGAAAAGTGCAATAACAACTTGGAAGGATGTAGACATCAGAATATTAATCAGTAGCAATTAGAAATAAAGATCCTGGTACCTAATGAAACCAAGGGACTGCTTTTGATGGAAAACCCAGTCTTCAAACTGAGAGTGGAGTTCCTCCCATTGCCATGTTGAGTCCTCTCTGAAATCTGTGACAGGAAAAAGAAGTAAGCCAAGAGAATTCTGGTGATAAGATAGCAAAAGATTTTTGTTTTCCCAAAAGAGAGATCATTTTAAAGCTTGGGATCAACTCTGTAACCACCGATCACTCTTCCCCATCCATGCCTGATCCTGTCTCCATGACTTCCTGTATCTTACCACTGAACCTTGAACCTAGTTCTCAGCAGATTCTAAATGTGTGTTGACGTGCCTGGCTCCTCCGTGGGGCCATGAGCTTCTGGCACTGTGTGTCATTCATCTTTGCATCCATCACAGGTCACCCAAAGTTTGGCATGAGGTCAGGGCTTAATAAATGGTGCTTTTAAATAACTGTTGAAAGTCACCAATTTAGAGAGCACGCAGACATGAAATGTGGCCATATGTAGGGAGCAGATATCCATACAAATATTCAAACAATAAAATAAATGTTCCCAGGTAGATTGTATTTAAAATATAATTATAAGTATTCTTTGCTCCTTTTCTTAGTAAGTTTCCATCTCTTAAAACAGTGAAAGTAAACGGATGATTAGTGGTAAGAAGGAGAAGGTGAAGAGTGAAATAAAGAGCAAAGTATCTTTCCTTCTTACTGATGTGAATAACAGCCCTCCATTTTCCCTCTGCCCAAACACCCCCGTTTCCTTCTAGTCACTGGATGCCTGAGAATCCTTCTCTCTCAAGTCCTTTCCTTCTTCCTTATATCATAAGAAACTTCAGTTGTCCCGCCACTTGACTTAGTGCCTGGGCCCTACCAAACATTTTTGTCACATTGAATCAGGAGCACACATAAATCCAAAAAAGGCTTGAGACAGTCTAAGCCAGTCTGGGTACAAATACTGGAACCCATTTAAGGTTGTTCAGGTCCAGGCTTCGTGCCAGATTAGCACTGATCCACACCAAAGAGCAGGAAAAGCGTAAACTCCCCAGTTCATCACTTGCTTTGTTTTTGCAGTAGTCACTGCAATTAACAATTTGTTTTCTTTTTTTCACTCCTAGGATGTAAAACATCTGGTTCCCCCCCCCCCCCGGCTATGATCAACCATCATATATTTGAAAAACGTTGAGTAACCATTTCAGATTCTCTCTTCAAGGTAACTAACTTAAGAATCCACCCCTGTTTGTGGACTTTGGTCATGATTTCCTTTCCAAATCTGAGTGGTACTTATGGCTATGGTGTGAACCTGCTTCACATTTTTTTACTTCTCCCTCAACATATAGAGGCAAGAATTGAATTCCGACCTTGTATTCATCAATGCTAATTATCTTCATTAATGTTACATCCTGCTCTCTGGGAGATACATCTCACTATCATGACGTTTATGTTCATAGCAGACCTCTGTTCTGGTTGTTGGTTTGCTGTCGTTCATTATCATACCTCCAAGCATGGTCAGGTTGATGAAGAAAGAGCTCACATACTCCTGGGAACTGAAACACTCGTTTTAAATTCTGAGTGCTAATATAGAAAAAAGTCTTGAATTAGATTGATTTCTTTTCAACTTCTATATTTATAGCCTAATCTTTAATGAACTAAGTTGAACAGAGAACTTTGTCCCTGTAGCTTTATTAAATAGCATATAATAAAGCTTTAATTATTCAGTGGTTGGTTTTTTATGAGTTATTGCTGTCCACCATCTTGTTCCTTGGCTTATTTATCAACTTTGCTACATGCAAGAGAAAAAGATGAAGCAATACAGGTATGTACCTCAGTCAGCCAGCCTTCTTGTCTGTCAGCCACACTTTGTAGGTCAAATGTGCGAAGAGCATGAGGACAGTTGTTAGAGGGAGACATGAAATCCTCTTGATTAAGAATGAAGGAAACAACCTAAATGTCCATGGACAGATGACTGGATAAAGAAGTTGTGGTGTATTTATGCAATGGAATCCTACTCAACCATAAAAAGAATAAAATAATACCATTTGCAGCAACATAGATGGACCTGGAGATTGTCATTCTAAGTGAAGTAAGCCAGAAAGAGAAAGAAAAATACCATATGATAGCACTCATATGTGGAATCTAAAAAAAGAAAAAAGAAGACACTAATGAGCTTATCTACAAAACAGAAAGGCTCAGACATAGTAAACAATCTTATGGTTACCGGTGGGAAAGAGGGTGGGAAGGGATAAAATTAGGAGTTCAAGATTTGCAATTATTAACTAGTATCTATAAAATAGGTAAACAAGTTTATTCTGTATAGCACAGGAAAATATATTCAATGTCTTGTAGTAACTTCTAATGAAAAAGAATGTGAAAATTAATGTATATATGTATGTGTATGAGTGAAACTCTATGCTGTACACCAGAAATTGACACATTTATAACTGACTATACTTCAACTTTAAAAAAATGAAAGTGAGTTCAACATTTCATCAAATTAAAAGACAAAACAGACTTTTAAGGGTATCATAAAGAAATATTTCTTTGGCTACATATTTTTTCACTAGTAGTCAATATGTGGACTTGGAATAATATTTTACTTCTGATAAGAGTGTGTAGATTTTTTTTGTTAATTTTTTTTTTGTTATCTAAAAGCTCCCTCTTCTGACTTTGCAGAATAATTCCTCACATATCCTCTCCACATTTTAACAGGTCTTATAAATTGTCTTAAGAATAAACACATCTGATATAATATGAAATACAGTTCGTGTTCAGACATTGACCTGAAAACACAGCAACTATAAGTTTTAAATTAAATTTTTTTTCTCCAAAGTTATAGTAAGTATTATTTCTGGGAAAATCAGAATTCCTTGTCTTAAGTAGTAATTATAAGCCATTTTTCCTCAAATATTGAGTTATGGAATTACCAGTGGTGGGGCAAACTCTTTGGTTTTTATAAAAATAACAGTTTTATATTATATAAATAAAATATCTCATAGAAAATTTTGAAAATATACAACATGGATTTAATTCATATCACATTAATTTAGCTATTAGAGTCTTTGAAAATACATCTTTCATGGTTACATAATATTCTACAAGAAGCATATACCATCATTTTCTTAAAGAATAGCATAAAAATGCATAATTAGATTATTTCCATTTTCCACCCATTATAAGTAATGGTGAAATTATTTTAAACAAATATTCTGATTATTTTCTTAAGAAAACAACTGAAAATGGAATTTCTGAGGGAAAAATTATAAATATTTCTAAAAATATTGTCACTAGCACATTTTTTCTAAATTCACTTCCAGAAACATACAAATTTACAATTTTATGAGCAAATGTGTATGAGTTCTCTCCATGTCCTCAACAATTCTCAGTATTTTAAACATGCACCAAAATCATAAATGAAAAAAATGCTATTTAAAATTTGCATTTTATTAGGATCATATAAAAATAATTGCCCTCTAATTTTAACCACTATTATTATTACTTCTTTGTAAATCAACTTTAAACATCCTTTAAATTTTTTATAATAAGGTGTTAAAGATTTTCTTAAGGATTTTAGTAGTTCTTCATATGTTGATTAAATATTTTCTTACTGTGTTCTTTGGCTCTATTTTATCATGTTTTATAATATAAAGATTTTAATATGTCATGTAATCAAATCTATATTCATTTGTGGATATGTTTATTCCAATATTGTGTTCACAATTTTATGCTATTAGTTATAGTTAGATTTCTGATTAATCTAGAATTAATTTTGTGGCATAGTATAAAGAAATGGCATTTTACTTTCCTAATAGTAAACATTCTTGACATTACTTAAAAATAGTTCATATTTCTCCCATTGATTTTAATAATTGAATTATATCCTACAGACTTCTTCATTTGTCCCTATTTCTGGTTTTTCTGTGTTTTTTAATGCTATTTTTAACTTCTTTTTTTTAACATTTTATTTTTTTATGTTTTGTTTATTTATTATTGTATTATTTAATTACTTTGTTTTGGCAGTGGTGGGGAGAGAGGTAATTAGGTTTGTTTATTTTTAGAGGAAGTACTGGGGATAGAACCCAGGACCTCATACATGTAAAGCATGCACTCTATCACTTGAGCTATACCCTCCCCCTCTGGTTTTTCTGTTCTTGTTTATTGATGTCTCTATCCAGCCAGCTGTATTAGTCATTTTAACACTATAGTTGAAAAGCACCCTTCATTATTTCTCTTTTTAAAAATATGTTTGCTCTCTTTTATACATTGATAATTCCACATTTTAGAACCATCTTGCCAAGTTCCAAAAAATTTCTATTGAGATTTTAATTGGAATTGCATCATCTTTGGGGAAAACTGATCCTCTGCATTATTACTGAATGTTTCCATCTAAGAGTAGGAACTAAATCTCCACTTATTCTGATTGTATTCACATCACTCATTCAAACTGTACAGTATTTTGCATAAAAATTCTTATGTATGTAGACACTTTCTTCTTAGGTTTATTTCTACTTATTCTGCATGATCATTATCATTATTATTACTCATTGTAACTTTAACCCTTATCTTTAATAAATTGTTTTGGTTAACATATAGGAAAGTTACTTATTTTTAATATTTTTTAGTCAGCACCACTGAAAGTTCTCTTAGACAGCCACATGTAAATCAATGACGTGAGAACATTCCCTCACACCATACACAAAAATAAACTCAAAATGGCTTATAGAATTAAACATAAGACACTATAAACCTCCTAGAAGAAAACATAGGCAAAACGTTTTCTGACATAGATCTTAGGAATATTCTCCTAGGGCAGTCTACCCAAGCAACAGAAATAAAAGCAAAAATAAACAAGTGGGATCTAATTAAACTTAGAAGCTTTTGCACAGCAAAGGAAACCATAAACAAAACAAAAAGACTACCTACGGAGTGGGAGAAAATATTTGCAAAAGATGAGACTGACAAGGGCTTAATCTCCAGAATATATAAACAGCTCATTCAACTTAATAAGAAAAAAACAAACAACCCAATCCAAAAATGGCAGAAGACCTAAACAAGCAATTCTCCAATGGAGCCATACTAATGGCCAAAAGGCACATGGAAAAAAATGCTCAATATCTCTAATTATCAGAGAAATGCAAATCAAAACTACAATGAGGTACCGTCTCACACCAGTCAGAATGGCCATCATTCGAAAGTCCACAATGATAAGTGCTGGAGAGGCTGTGGAGAAAAGGGAACCCTCCTACACTGCTGGTGGGAATGCAGTTTGGTGCAGCCACTGTGGAAAACAGTATGAAGATTCCTCAAAAAAGTGAAAATAAACTTACCATATGACCCAGCAATCCCACTCCTGGGCATGTATCCAGAAGGAGCCTTAATTCAAAATGACACCTGCCCCCCAATGTTCACAGCAGCACTATGTACAATAGCCAAGCGGGAGGTACGAACTATTGGGTGTGAGACAGGCTCAAGGATGCATGGTACATCACGGGGAATAGAGCCAATATTTTGTAATAAATGTAAGGGGAAAGTAACCTTTAAAATTGTATAAAAATTAAAAATTAATCTGCCTTACTCTTCTAACACCCTTTCCATTTTATTGTTGAAATACCAAATGTTCATGGAGTGAAGATTTAGATTTTGCTCACTTTTCATAACATTTTCCACATTTCAAAACTTTTTCCAGGTACTCCTTGAGCTCTTTTTAAATGAAGGCTTGAGTCTTTCTTCAGCTCAGAAAATTACTTATTTTATATGTTTCAATAATTCTATTTGCGTCAGTCTTTAGTTCAGAAACATCCAACATGCATATGCTGGAACTCCATGTCTTTTCTATTCACTGTTTCTCTCTCATCAGTTTTGTCTTTCTGTCTATTTTGCTGTCTTCCATTGGCGTTTTTGTATCTACTAATTAAAATGCCTGCACTATTGTTTCTGTTAAGACTTCTAATATACTTGAAGTTCCACTCTTACATGTTTAATTTTCTTAAATTATTTTACCTCCTTTCATTTTTTTGACTTTCAGATAGCTCGTATTTCAGCTCAGTCTTCTACAATTCCATGTCATCTTTCACTTCTTCTATAAAAGCCCCTCTTGTCTTATATTTTATTGAGATCATAAAGCAGGTATTGCCCAAATATAATTTATTTCCTGCAGTAAATCTTCAAAACCAGCTCTTTTCCTGG